AAATCAGGGAGCCAAGGGGTATCTCTCAGCCCAAACCTGGTGTCCTGGGTTCAGCTATAGCAGTCATTTTTTTCTCCTTCTTAGTAGCTGGTGCAGTGCTGTGTTTTTGACTTTCAGCCTGGGAACAACACTGATAACACCGATGTTTTTAGTTGTTGCTAAGTAATGTTTACTCTGACCAAGGACTTTCTCAGTCTCATGCTCTGCCAGGGAGAAGGGGAAGCCAGGAGGAAGCAGAGACAGGACATCTGACCCAAACTGGCCAAAGGGGTATTCCATACCACAGCACGTCATGCCCAGTATATAAACTGGGGAGAGTTACCTGGAAGGCCCAGATCGCTGCTCGGGGCGGGCTGGGTATCGGTCGGCGGGTGGGGAGCGGTTGTGTCCTTTTCCCTTGTTATTCCTCTTATCATTATTATTGGTAGCAGTAGTGGTTTGTATTACACCTTAGTTACTGGAGAGCTGTTATCTCAACCCGTGGGAGTTACAGTCCTCCGATTCTCCTCCCAATCCCTCCGGGAGCGGGGGGAGGAAGGAAGAGGTGGGGGAGTGAGCGAGTGGCTGCGTGGTTCCAAGTTGCCGGCTGGGCTTAAACCGCGACACCTGGCTCACAGAGAAGCTTTCTCTCTTCCCTGGAAATGCTAACATGCCATTAGTCAGTATACACTTGCCAGTGGACTACACCAGTGTGAGACAGTTTGCTGTGCCAGTGTGGTAGGCTAATATGAGACCCAACAAAGTCTGATGAAGTCAAATACAGCTGTGTTTATGCTGTCCCCGGGTCCCAAAGCAGCTCAGCTACCTCAGCACAGCACAGTGCCAGGGATGCAGCGAGTGTGCCAGAGCCAGCTGGAGCACCTGGTAGTCACTAGCCGTGAGAAGCACAAAGCGTCCATACGCAGGCAGGCTGGGCAATGGGCTTGGAAATACCAGTGCTGAGCAGAGCTACCTCATGCAGAGGTATCCATGTGTTGTGAGTCAGGCTTGCCAGCATGCCTGGAGAGCTGAGCAGATCAGATGCAGTATCACATCAAGATTAAGACTTATATTAGTGGCATGTTCACCTCTGCTTCCCCCATTTTCTTTTCAACAACCTATTTCATCCACCTCTGCCCCACAGTATTTGTTGTCCATTCATTTCCCCTGCCCAAACACAGCATCCTCCCATATGTTCTTTTTCCACCATCTCACACCAGCTCCTCATCAAGCTATGCACCAAGGGAGCATGCCAAATCTTGTGCAAATCAAGGTCTTCCAAGAAAGCTTTCTAATACAGGAATTAGAAGGGCTTCTTCCCCACCTCTACAAGGAACACAGCAACCCTCACAATTCAGACTAACAGAAAACTTACTGCATAGTTATCCTTCTGCGCAGACCTGCCACCAAACACTTGGCTGCAGACAAGGATGGCTACTGACCACTGTGAAGCCAAGCATCTCTGGGCAGTAAAGATTAGTACGTCAGCCTGAAACATAGAGAGTTGGGACATTTCTCCTGAGCAGCAGAACTCGAACAGATTGTCCATAATTCAAATTACCCTTCCAGCAATCACACCAGTGACAGGGCAGTGGGTAAAAAAGCATTTTGCTAAGCATATGCCTCCCGTTTCATAGACTAATTTGGTGCTTTTAAAAACAAATTTCAGACTGTGAAACAAAATAAAATTTTCAGAAGAACTGCTAAATATACTCTATCAGAAAAAGATTGAGAAGTCTGACAACACTATAGATACATTTTTATTTTTTTCTTTTAATTTAGGATGAAGAATGGAAAAGGAAGAAAAGAAAGCCCTGATGGATTTGGCTCCAGCAAAGAACACAATTTCACAAGTCAAGCATTCTCTGCTCTCCTTTCATACAAAATGATGAAGGACTGTTACCAGCTGTGTGACAATGCGTCTTCAGATTTTACTATTTGAATTTGATTTTTTAATGGATTTTACCAGAACCAATATTATTCTTGCCAGCTTTAAAGGTGCCAAGGGCAGAGTGCTGAATGAGGGCAGCATTTTCTTTTTCAGGCACTAGCTACAGTTCAGCCTCTAATTTCCCCAATTTCCTCCAGTTTTTCTTCATACAGGCTTTTGTTTCTGAATAGACATCAACAGGGGCAATTTGGGAATTCACTTTCTACAAGTTAATTTCATGGCACTTAGCAGACAAAGTGAAGTAACTTAAATTCAAGCTTATTATTATATGCAGTTTCAAGCACTTGTCATCCTGGTGATTTTTTCTCCATGGCCTGAAATCATATCCTATATATAACTGTAAGAGGTTGTGCAAAGTTTGATCTGAATTTTACATTTGAAAAAGTATTTTTCTTAATTAGGACCATTTTATTATCACTTCTCAGCTTTGATGGATCCAAAGCAAGAGAAAAATTACCCTCTAATACCAGTTGCTCACCTTGTACTTTTTAATAGTCAAGCTTGAATATTGACCAGTGGATGAGACCACAGCATGCCACATGCCACATGTATTTCATGTGTCCAGTCTACATGAAAGGTCATGAGATATCACTGATACGCTGCAAAGCTGTTTTAGCACTCCCAATTGCTCTGAAGCACAGCTTCAGACTCAGGGTTTGCATGGAAACAATTCACACAGAGACTTCGAAAGAGGCTCCAACTTCTGCTTTGCTGGCAGCAAAACCACATCCTGGCTGTTTTTAAAAAATAGCAAGCAGCACACAAGTTGGAATAGAGGCACTCATTGGCACAGAGGTATCCAGCATGGGCCCCTCATGCTCCCTCTGCTATGCACATTCCAAAAAGTCTAGGTTAATGCTAGTCTGTGCATTTTTTCTTCTACTGATACCTTATGACTTCAGCTCTCCAACTGCTCTGTTCAACCCCTGGTTATCACAGAGCTTGAAAATCTGGACTACTTTGAGGGTGTTCTAGCATTTTTGTTTTAAAGATCATGTTCAAAATGCATGTCAGCTAAAAGACTGAGTCAGCTTTATCACTGCTAAAATTATATTTTAATCTGAGATCTTTCTTGAAACATAACTTGAGATAGCAGAAGATAACAACGAATGAAATTGTTATTAAGAATAAAGAGCAGCCCTTGTCTCCTTCCGTATTTCAGACACTATCTACCACTTGAATCTGGTTTAGTTAAAGGAAATCATAGCTGAAGCAGCTTCATCCATCCAGACTGACTGCTAGCATCCCCCTCCTCAAGGGAAGGAAGTAAACCCCAGTCTTGTTCACTTTTTGAGTATGTTTCCCACTCACACTAGGTAGTTTCTGTTTGAATCTGCCTTTCCCTCACCTCTCCTCCTCACTAGCTACATGGTAATGCAGACTTTAATTTGTACATTCCATGTTTAGGAATGAATTCTTTGTTACAATTTTATGAAAACACAGAATCTCTTGTATCACATAGCAGAAAAACATTCAGCAGTCCATGCAGTGGATGCACAACAGCTTTCTCTCTGTAAGCATCATATAAAGATGAGAATGAGAACAGGGCTTTAAATTATTCTTCCACCAAAGCTTATTTAGCTTTAAGGAGGATTCCATCAGGGGGGTTGGAACTAGATGATCTTAAGGTCCTTTCCAACTCTCACTATTCTATGATTCTATGATCATCTGGTCAGAACCTGTGTGAATATATTTGCCCTAGCCTTCAATTCTATGGGGATCTCAGGCTAACCAATTATTGAGCATTTACCTAACCTATAGCAGGGGGTTTGTATCCCAGACCAAATCCGGGTGAAGACAGTTAAACCAATGGGAAAACTCTCACTATCCACCCCCTGACCTCCCTGCCCCTCCAAAAACCAACAAAAAATTGCACATAGCACAGATACATAAGCAAAGTTAGGGCTGCCTGCACTCTACTGTGGATATATGCCAGTGTTAGGGCAGGCAAGAAAGAGGGTCTTTCATGTTCAGAAGTGGCAGGAAATAAACATAGACTGTAACTCAGGAATGGTTGTTTGCTCTCCTGAAAGTCAGTCATTAAAGTGCTGACAGATTTCAAAGCTACCCAGCTCTTAATAGTCCCTGTATCATTACTGCCTAGTAGGCAAGCATTTGTGGGTTATAATGGAAAGCTCCTGATCGCCGCTTGCAGTCTGCAGCCTGCCACCTTTTCCGCAGCGTGGCTTCACCCTCTTCATCCAAAAGAAAGGAAAGGAAACCGAAACAGCCTTCAGTTTCCATCAGCTGCACTGGCTTGGGGGTGGGGGGGACACACACAGGACGACACAAAGAAAACTAAGCAAAGTCAACTCATATAATAGCATGTAATTTTACATGCACTGTTACTACCAGCTCAGAAAAAGCACATTTGGGGAAAAAGACTGTAAAAAAGACTGTAAAAAAGCTAAGCATATTTGTAGTAAGCACACGCACATAAAATACACATACACTACTTTCAGTTTCTATTCTGTATTATATCTGCAAGCTAGAGCTTATACAAGACATCTAAGAACTGTCACTAGAAAATCAGAGATGGGCTGATCATAGGTGCCAATAAAGCCTAAAATGAAATTGAGGGCTGAAGATTTGGTTTTACTTTTGTCAGCATAAGTTATTTGAAGCTGCTCTGTGTCCTGGAGTGCATTTGGGTCAGTGCTGGAACGTAGCCTATATCCATCTCTTAAGACAAAGGAAGTATTTTTAGACTTTCCAGGATGACATATTAGGAGACAGAAAACAGGGAGCTAGAATCACATTTGAAATTTCACTTAGAATAAGGACGCCAAGAAACAGACACCACATACACCAATACCCAGATTTACAGAACTGGCCACTGCTATCACACAAGGTGTAAGCCATGCTATCAGGAAGCCTGCCAGAACAACTTAGGTCCCATGTAGGAAGAAGGCAGCTGCAGGAGGATGAAGACATGCTGCTTATGCACCCAGTCCCATTCACAGGCTCTCCAGAAATTATTTCCATCTTTTAAGGTGCACACCTCGAATAAAGTGGAGAACAGGCACCAGATTCATGAAACATCATCTTAGTTGGGCTCCTTGTTACTTACTACTGCTCTTGCTGTTGTTGGTAGCCCGATGCTTGGCCACTTTGCTCCTCTTTAGATGTTGTTGGCTTCTGGGGGTTTTCAGCCTTCTCTCTTTTGTTGTTGCCATCCCAGAGGTAATCCTGAGAGGAAGCCAGGGTACCGGAGGCACCAGCCGTCTTGTACCTGCTGCCATTCCTCCATCCTCTAACTCCAGACATTGCTTCAGAAGTACCTTGCCTTGTCAGAAAGGAGTATTGCTGTAAAGGCTAGAGAAAGACTCAAAACTCTTGAGTTCTCACAAGTTGGTTTCAATTCCTTTTAAGACCCGCCCCTGCCTGGACTCTCAGCTGGTTTCTGAGTCACCCTCCAGCTGAACCTCAGACTGATCATCTTAACCACAGCACCCAGGCAGACTGGAGTCATGGGGTGACAGCAAAGCTAACAGAACAGTCAACAGCAGTTTGTGCCATCTTAGAATAGACTGCTTCATCATAAGATGTGTTTAGTAGTGGACTTGGCAGTGCTAGATTAACATTTGGACTTGATCTTAGAGGTCTTTTCCAACCTAAACAATTCTATGATTCTATGATAAGCATGGTGAGGTCTGCCTGAAAGCTGTACTTCTGACAATATTTTACCCCAGCACTTCAAATATCTCTGTGACGGAGGGGAATAACTCTAGAGGGTTTGCTGGTTTCTATTTTGCAGGAGTGTACAAAGAAAGATGAAAGCGAAACTCAAATCTAACCCTCAGATAAATCCTAAGGCAATGGTCCTGCACGACTCCAATTCTGCATTTCAATTCTGCTCTATCAGAAAACATTTCACTTTGACTTTCGCAATTCTACCTGATGACTGGAGGACAAATATAGGATCCTCTTAAGCAAAAACACAGATCCCTTCAGTGAAAACATCAACCACTGTTACTGTTACCTATGGGGTCTGCAGGGCTGTAGAAAACCAGCAACCTGCTCAATATCACTAGTAAAATAAAGATGTCTGGCAGCTCCTAACCCAAGAAAAAAAGAACTAGTAATGCTGCTCAAGCTTTATGCTGCAGAGCTAGGGAAATGCAGCTCTACACACGCAGATGCTGTCACTTTTGGTCCTCAGATGCTCAAGCTGCACAAACCCCACATTGTTGAAGGGACTGTTATGTGGCCAGGTGTCCTGACTGTCCAGACTGTATAGGTCTTACAGCACACCCTACACATGCTGGGAAAGTAGCAAAATAAAATGCCACATGGAGAGCCACAGGCTGCTTGGTGTGTTCATGCTGCTCCTTGGGGTGCCATACGGGACCCCATCACCAGCAGCACACCTCCAAGAGGTGCCACATCCAGCAGGACATATCTCCTAGGGCTGCCCAATGAAGACAGCATCAGTAGTCTTTCCCTCCCACCATCCCTCCTAACACGCTCTGCAGCTGGGATGATCTTCATTTGTACATAAATCATTCTGCAGAGACTCTGGCATGCAATGGCAGTGTGTTGCAAAGGGATGGACTGGTGCATAGTCCATAGTTTGCACTACTCCCATGTCTCATTTTTGGGACATGGTGCGTCTAGCCTGGTCTATGAACACACAGAAACACTGCAGGAGAGTTCAGTATGCTCACTTCCTGGAGACAGATAGCAGAAATCACCCAAAGGCCCTCTGCCTATCTTCTGCCAAGCCCTGATCTCTCTAATCCCAGTGCAGCATCAGATTGCGTGCTCACTCAGCCTCTGTTTTAGTTTGGAAACTGCCCAGGAGGCCAGAGCAGAAAATAAACAGCCTTCTTTGCCTCATTTAAAGCTGTATGTTGTGGACAAAGGAGTACATCTAGTCTCTGAGACATTGCTGGGTCATAGCTTCAAGGCAACTCTAGAGACTGCCAACAGCCAACATAGGCAGGTTTCTTGTTTAAGGGTGTTCCAGGTTGGTCTGGGTATGGTCTGGGTAAGAGTGTCTCCTCTGCCAGATGTCTTCAAGAACTGCTAAAAGACAAAGGGCATTACAGACTTGGACTAGATATGTGGAGTTATTCTTTACCCTTGTGGCAAACACAGACATTTTGTTCTGCATAGTGACTGGGCTTTTACCAAAAATCAAACGCATGGCACTTTACAATCTCCTAAATTGACCAAGGTGTTCAGGTAGGTCAGAAGGCTCAAGGCTTACTCTCTTCCTTCATGAGCTGCCTGGCAAAGATAAAGGCAGGCCCTGGAGATGATCTCTTCACCCAGGTTGCCCCTTCTCTTCATATATATATATATA